AGTTTTTCTGCTTCTTTTATGCCTTCAAAATAAATGTGGGAGATCCGTAGCTAATTTTATTGTCGTTTCTTCATATAATACAAACTCATGCCCTCGGAAACTCTCAAGAATAACAGGAAACTCTTGAAAGTAAGCGACTAAGACACTGAAAAACTTTGAAGGATTACAAACGTACACTGTCTGTAGAGCCAGCACTGATAGCAATCACCGTAAGGGGGTTGAGTAGGATAGTCATACGATGCCAATGTATACGTTGTGAAATAAATCACAACGAATACCGGGATTTTAAGCAACATCTGAAATATGGAGAGTTGTATTTACATTTTGGGCCACAACTGTTTTTCAATACACTATTATACCATACATATAACGCGCTACCTTGCGCCTGTGTGTATGTGTGTGATGTGTGTGTGTCCGACCCGAAATTCATAACTCTTGCTCTTGTTCCCGTGGACCTAGAGCGTTCAGATTTGTTAGGAGTACAGGCGGTAGGATGGAAACACTGATGATGTGATAGGTGGCAGAACTGGACTCCGTGCACGGGGTGGGGGGGGGGGGGGNGGCGGGGTTAGCGCGAAATAAATGTTAGAGCGGAAATTCGTAACTCCTGTTCAACTAAACCTAGAGCGTTGTAGAAGTACAGGAGACACTAAGGGAATAAGTGGCAGGACCAGACCCCACCAAAACTAGGCGGTGCGTGCGTAAAAACTGGGAGACGGAACATCTCCCCGATTTCCCACGGCCTGGGCAGTGGTCCCGCGGTGACTCTCATATCCTTCCACTGAGGAATCAAATCTTTCCATTCACAACGCACGTTCGCGTGCGTCGAGCACGACCCGCCGTTCGTGAGGAAGATATTAGATCCTTGAAAATTGGCAGTTCGGGTGCGCTGAACATTCAAATCCCATATGAGGATTCTGCAGGCTGCGGTCGCTGCGCACGGTCGGTTCACCTCGCGCTGTCTCTTAATTTGTTCTGATCGTCCAAGTATTCAGAATTCTGTCTAGTACTACTTATTATTTTATCGTCGGACATTGTGAACACCTCAGTGGCAGGGTGTGTAGTCAACGAAGAAACTGCCACATTGAAAAGTCTATTTTACGGGCTTTTCCTGATTATTGTTTCGTTTCGGATAGTGACTCATTGATTATCGATTACGACCGTGCTTCGATTTGATCTCACTAGCTCTTGTGTACCTGCCTGTGGCTGTGATGTTTGTGGCTATTTTCGTCGGACACTGTGAACACCCAGGTGGCAGGGTGTGTAGTCATTGAAGAAACTGCCAACTTCAAAGGTGCATTTTTTTGAGTTTTTCTTGATTATTGTCTTTCGGCGTTGGAATTCACCGATTTTCGCCGTTGCGTCATTTTGATCTCAATCTCTTACGTGAAACTGCTTGTGGCGGCGGTTGTACTTGAATATTTCTAGCTAGCCACTAGCCAAGGTCTATCATTTGGATTTTATTGCATTCATCTGTTTTTAAAATTTTATTCAATGGATGCTGAAACTCCGCGTCCCCCTTCACACGTTCAGGAACCGCCAGTGAAGCGTCGTCCTCCCGCCCTTTCGCCGTTGGTCAATGGGGATTTGCTGGATGCAATCAGGTGTTTAACTTCGGATGACAAACTGCCCCCGCATGTCAAGACAATCTTGACTCACCTGTTGGACAAAACTATGGCCATGGATGACCTGTTGCAAAGGAATATGGAGTTGAAGGATAGGTTGCGGAAACAAACAATTGAAAACGAGAGGTTGAGGAAACAGATTGAAACTTTGAGGATGTCCTTAGGCAATAATGGTAGCAATTCCCAAGAGCCTGTTAAGTCCTTTTCTGTTGTAGAATCTCAATCTTCTAATGTTCATGTTGATTCTAATATGCTATGTTGCTCAGAGCATAAACGTGTGAGATCAGTTGTCGTTTCGGGATTGGTGGAATGCACTGATCCGAGTGCAATTGTAACGATTTCTTTTGATCTGGAAAATGTTAAGAAAATATTTCATTTCCTTTCAATTGAATGTTTACCAGTTACGTGTTACAGAATGGGTAACCAAATTCACTCCGTCCTAGGCTTTTAAGAGTAGTGCTCCCTACTACTTTCTTCCAGAAACAAATTCTTGCTAGGGCCTCGCTGTTAAAGCATTTTCATCTTTCTGGTGTTTTTGTAAGACCCTCCTAAACTAAGGCAGAGGGGGAACGACTCCGCTCCCTGAGAGCGGCTAGGACTCCCTCTAGTGTTCGTGTTTCTGCTGTTCAGGGTTCACCTCCTGATAGCTTGTCCCCGTCTCCTGTGGTTCAGGTTGCGCCTAGTGTTTCTATGCAAGAACATTCTGATGATGTCATGATTATTAATGGTGATTCATGTAATGTTAATGCTGCAACTACAACGTTAAACCACTAATCGTTCTTCGGGCCTCAGGTAAGGAGATTTGTTGTTTGTTGGCGAATGCAAGGTCTCTTGTTAAGAATTTCAATTCTTTGACTTATCTTTTACCTAGCTTTGACTGTGGAGTAATTGCCATCACGGAAACTTGGCTGTAGAAGAAGGATAAAATTGAGTCTTATTTGGGCAATGCTTCTCTTTTCTATTATGTTATTAGGTGATAGATCAAGGAAAAAGGGTGGAGGAGTGGCCTTTCTAGTAAAAAAGAAGCTTTTCCCTGTGCTTGTTTTTTCTGAAAGTGTCCCCAATGCATACGAAGTTGCTGCTGTCGATTTGCAATTCGCTGTTGGTAAGCTCAGGTTCATTGTGGTTTACAGGGCTCCAAAGTGCTCGTTTGCAAATTCCAAACAGTTATACAAATGCATGAGTGATCTCGCTTGTGCTGGTTTTCCCACTCTTCTCATGGGGTATTTCAACTTTCCTAATATTGTATGGGATTCCGTTCCTTATTCTTCTGATTCTTTGGCTGCTGAGTTCTTGTCTATGACTGCAAATCATAACTTTTTACAATTTATCAATTTTCCGTCTAGGCTACAGCATTTTCTTGACCTTTTATTTTGTAATAAACTAGGGGTTGTCACTCGAGTTGAGGAATCACCACCCCTGGGATCCAGTGATCATTCTGTGGTTAAATTTTTTCTCAATATTTCGTCTCCTAGTGACTATTGGGTTTACTGACGTGATTTCAAAAATGCTGATGTAATTCGACTCAATACCTATTTGGATTCAGTGGATTGGTTTGGGTCTTTTAGTGCTTCGGATTCCGTCAATGGCATGTATGAAACTTTTATCTTTATTTTACGTCATTGTTTAGAAATGTTTATTCCTTGGAGGAAGTACCCCCTCTCCCTCAAGCGCATACCACTTTATTTGAGACGATTCTACTTGAAAAAATTGCGAGCGCATAGCACGGCTTCCAAGTCTAATTCTTCTCAGGACTGGGATCTCTACAAGTCTGCCTCTTAGGTTCGAAAAGAAACTCTTTAAGTTCAACTGCTCGGTGGAAAAAAAGGTAGTGGAGTCTAAAAATAGAGGGGCTTTGTATAAGTATATAATACCAGGCTTAATCATAAGGAAGGTGTTGGCTTCCTTAAAATCGATGGCTCAATCGTTAGCTCTGATTCCGATAGAGCAAATTTACTGGTTGACGTTTTTGCACAAGTTTATTCTCGTCAGAATTTGGTTGGAACTCCGCCTTTGGATAGTACCTTGTTCCCAATTATGGAGGATTCTGTATGGTTCGATCGTCGGGAGATTTTTGAGCTCCTTTCCAAGTGGCATAGGTCCTCCTCTGTAACACCGGCATTCCATTCCAGTTAATCAAAATGATCACTTCCAAAATTTCTTCTCCCTTGGAATATCTCTTTAATTTGATCTTCTGTCGTAGGGAGGTCCCGAATAGATGGAAACAAGCGTTATTAGTTCCGCTTCTGAAGAAACCACCTAGTTATGACCCATGCAATTTCAGACCTATAAGTATAACCTCTTTTTTTTTGTCGGTTGTTTGAGAAAATTTTGAAGAAGAGGATTGTGCGTTATCTTGAACTCAATCGTGTATACCTAGCTGTCAACATGGATTTGGGAAAAGGAAGTCTACGGAGACGGCAATGCTCGAATCGTTAAATGATTGGACTGATGCGCTGGATGCCAAGGATAGCGTTGATGTTATATATCTTGATTTTCAGAAGGCTTTTGACCGAGTTTCTCATGATCTCCTGGTCTTAAAGCTTGCTCATGTGGGTATACATCCACGGATTGTTGCTTGGATTAAAAACTTCCTAGAGAATCGCACCTTCCAAGTGATACTCAATGGCAATCTATCTTTGGTTCGAGATGCTCCCTCTGGCGTTCCCCAAGGAGGTGTTTTATCTCCACTTCTATTTGCTATTTATGTCTATGATTTACCCGCAGTTATTGCTGATGCAGGCGTCACCCGTAAAATGTTTGCTGACGACATCAAATTATATTCTAGAATTCAAAATGGTGAAAGTTAGTTGCGAATGCAATCTGCTTTGCATGCAGTCTCGCAATGGTCGTATGATTGGTGCCTTTCTCTCTCTCCGGAAAAAACTAACGTTCTTCATCTTGGGGACAGCAATCGGCGGTATGATTATCACTTGTCGGGGGTCATCATAAAGAAGGTTGATTCCGTTAAGGATCTAGGATCCATTGTTGACAGCAAGCTCTTGTTTGATGAGCATTGTAGGAGCTTGCCAACAGAGCGAAACAGCGTCTTTTTCTTCTACTCAAATCCCTGGGCTCGAAGGATTCGCAGCTTCCCACTTGGGCCTACAAAACTTACGTTAGACCTATGCTGGAATATGGTACGTGTGTGTTTTGTCCTTTTAAGAAAGCCTTGGTTAATCGCATTGAAAGAATTCAGAACAGTTTTACTAGGAAGGTTTTCACGGTCATTGGGCTTTACATATCGTAGCATTCCGCGTAGTGTTACGAGGAACTCGATGCTTAATTTGGAGTCTCTCAAGCTTCGACGTAGGAAGAAAGACCTGTTAATGGTTTTTAGAATTCTCCATGGCTTAATTAAACTTTAATCGGGTGATTTATTTGAATTGTATAGGTCAGCTACGCGGGGCCAGGCTTTTAAGATTCTTCTTCGTCGGCCATGTTCCTCCATGAGTAGGGACTTCTTCACTTTCAGAGCTGGGTCAGATTTTGTAAAAGTTGCCAAAAAATGTACTATGCCGGGATCGAGATAGTGGTTTGAGGAAGCTATTAGACAGAATACTCCCTCTCTCAAATTAGGTTTGTATTGTGTCAGTTGCTTGTACTTGTCTTTCTGTTCGGTATCAATTGGTTCCTATCAGTATTCTCGTGGATTGTTTTATTATGGATCT